CCTGTGGTATAACGTTTTGATGAGATAATTATTTTGAGCTGGGTGGTGGTGGGATTGAGGTTTCAAGTAGGAATCTGTGTGGGTGGGTTTCCTGTAGACAGAAAGCCCCAGTGAGCCATCAGGTCTCCTCTCAAACAGAACATCCAAGAATGGTAGCTTGCCATCTTTCTCCACTTCCATGGTGAATTTGATGGCGGGATGTCTAGAATTGATGTGGTGTAGGAAAAGGTTTAAAGCTGGGAGGCCATGTGGCCAAATGACGAAAGTGTCATCCACATATCTCTTCCACAGGGAAGGTCTGAGGGTGGAATTAAAACATGTACACCTGGCCCTCAAGAGAAATGGATACTCTGACCGTACCATCCGCCAAGCTGTTTCTCCCTCCATACAGAAACAACCACTTGATACTCCGGTCAAAACCATCATACTACCATATATAGCAGGCGTTACTAAAAAGATCTCCAAAATTCTAAACAAACACAAGATCCTGGTCCGGTTCAATACAGTACACAAAATCCGTGACCTGATCCCATCCGTGAAGGATGTCGTTCCTGACTTACAGTACCCCGGGGTTTACAAACTGAGCTGCACCTGTGGTGACTGCTATATTGGGGAGATGAAACGACATGTCTCTGACCGAATTCGCGAGCACAAATCAGATTTGAAACACGGCAGAACGAATTCATCTGCCGTAGCTGATCACTGTTACAACGCTGTGGGTGATCACGATATAGTTTTCTCCGATACCAAGGTTCTCTGCAAACCCACAGGTTTTTATCAGAGATTTTTCCACGAGGCAATTCAGATTTACAAACACAAACACAATTTCAACCAAGAGGATGGTTTCAAATTAAGAAATCATTGGAAAGATGTTCTAAATCAAACCAAACATTAAGCTAATTTTCAATGGTACAGTATATTTATTCAAGTAGTGGTATTCCAAACTTTCACAGCAGCTTATTTCCCTTCACACCAACATTACGTAAGATCCCCCCCCCCCCCCCCCCCCCCACCGTGCCGGTCCAGTACATCATTTTATGCTAATTCCTTTGTCAAGGCGTTTTTTGTTTCCTCCCACACAGCTTAAAGGACGCGACCTGGGCTTGGCTGTCTTCACTCCAACGCTGTTCTCTGGACAGTCCAGTCCCTTCACCTGATGAAGGCCACTTGTGTTGTGACCGAAACGTCGTGATTTTTTGTTATTTTATTTGTACCTACGTGACTTTACCGAATAGAACCAAAGAGTATGGATCCTTGCAGTCACGAAAGCTTCAAATCTAGAATGTAAGGTGATTGCTGGAATACACAGTGAACACTTTCCCTTGAAGAAATGTGGCAGTTTATTTAGAATATATTACTTCTGCTTCATGGGGACATTTCCAAACTTGGGAGCTGGAAAAAGGACTAAAGATTTCACTGGCTGTTGAGGCTTCCCACCCAACACTTTACACTTAGTCGTCATGAAAATTGGAAGATGCTGACAGATGAAATTTCATTGAAGTAGATAACTCAGCAAAAACAATCTATTCTTTCCTTGAAAATTAAAGAATCTAAATATGTTCAGCAGTTCTGTGACCCAAGGCAACCAATTTGCATGGAATGAACTCAAAGTTTTAAAAAGATGCTTGACATACTTGATACGACAATTGTTGGCCTTTCATTTGTGGCCAGGTCGCTTCTGAAATACAAGCTAATAGCTCAGTAGGCTTTACCTGGTAATATAACAATAATTTAGCTTTATTTGTACATTTTTTACGTGATTTGTTTGCCTTTCCTATATTTCGCACTCCTAACATGCTTTTATATTGTTTGTTGTGGTAACATTCTGACCTGCCCTAGTGGACATCTGTAAAAAAAGAGCTTTATAGCTCATCGGATTCCTCCAGGATAAATATTCTGATTCTAATTCTGGCTATGTTTTGAGAATGAGTCATAGGAAGGAATTTGACTTGCGCTCAAATAATCTGCTAAACAGTCATGAGCGACCATATTACAGGAAACTCGATGTCCATCGTGGTTCAGGTAATCACGAATAACCAAGAGCCTATCTTAAAACAAAGTCAAAGCATCTCCCCGCTCAGGTGAGAATGAGTGGATGCTCATTTCTACTCGCGGCCCTGAGCCAGTGATGCCAATTCTACATTCCTATGGCAGGTTCAACGTCCACATTGGACAACCAATTACCGCAAAGCAGTACTCATTGAACAATCCCAAATGTTGGATGAGTGGTCCACAGTCGGATATCCCGTGAATATACTGCATTCGTGCAGTGCTTTGTATTTGCACATGCACATGTTTACTTTATATGTGGACTACACATGTGTATGCGTTGATGTCGCAACTTTTGAATATTTGATAAATTAAATATAATCGATTAATAATTGCTTTTGGGTTTGACCACATAACGATGTTTGGATTGAAATTGCATCAAACATCTTCAGGACAAAATCCAGGAAGTCATAAATATATACAAGAATTTCAGAATTCATTCGTTTGGCTATGTTGGGTGGGTGGAGGGCCTTCCAAGACCATCTTGACCATATCATTACGTAACCTGACCAAAAGCTTAATTATGAATCATAATATAGTCTGTGAAACCCCACGTGTTAACAAGTATAAGTGGTGAGCCGGCTATGCACTTTGATATGGAATCATCCACTGAGCCACAAAGCTACCTCCAATATCGTGAGATGTTTTATTTTTTTATTATTATACGCTCCATTTAGCAGCTGGAACATCTGGATCGCAAGCTTATTTGATAAAATTCCCACAATACGACACTTGATTGATGGTTCTCTCTGCTTCATCGCTCCTCCACCTACTCATTGACCTTTCCTTCCTTTAATTTCGAGTCACTTTACAATCAAGAGCCGGCTGCAGTTGGCTGTTCACATCCGACAATAAATCATTCATTATTCATCACACTATACATCTATCATTAGCAGTTTGTATGTCACGGGGGAGAACGCGCATGTTGCGTTGTGCGACGCAGCGATGTTCCCTGCTTGGGTGTGCTAAGACCCATGCAAGGTTGGCTTGAGAGGTTCGTAATTGATGCAATCTTATTATTTATGGCAAGCCATGGATGTGACAAAGTGTCATGTTTTATTGCTTAATGAGAGTGAATTGTGGATGAGCTGTAAATCTGATAAAAGCAGTTCCTACAAATATAAGAGTGCATTTGCCTCAATTTATTATATTATTATTTCGTTTTGCCAATAGTCGTCTCAATGTTGAAACGATTATTTTGGAAAAGTCTCAACAACCATCTTTGGTACTCTTGTGTTATCCATACTGTGTGATGATGTGGCCGAGCGCTTGACTTCACAGCTGCAAGTGCGCGAGTTCAACATTTGTTCGGAGGTGGACTCGGGCCACACAGTGCTTGGCACACTCTTCAATGAACCTGGTCACGGCTAACATCAGTCACGAGTGTTGTGTGAACTGGACTTGCCCTCCCTCCAAGCCCATTCATCACCTATGCTGCACAGCACGGTGAAACATGGTTAGCAAACCAAATGAGTACCAGAGTGAAGGGAGGCCCTCGTCCAGCAGTGGATTGACAAAGGGCTCCAAATCATTACGCGTGTATTACATAATCGGAATAAGACATACATTCAGGCGATATCTGAAACAAATCAAAGTTGCAGCCGAGCCTCTTTATCCTCAAGAGGACAACGACAATGAAGATGACTAACGAGTTCCGCCATGGAGAGACTGCTCCCGCAGCGCTGTGCCATGTCAGCTGTGCCGTGTCGGCTGCACGTGTGCACGTACATTGAACTTGTCGCACCGCGCATAGCCAATTGTGCTAACCGGAGGTGCTGTGCCGTGTCGTCTGCGCCATGTCCACGGGCCTCCCGCTGTGCCCCGCCGTGCGGGGACACTTCCCTCCACCGTTGTCCACAATGCAAAGTGTCCCACGCTGTCCGTCCAGATAGTGTGGACTCAGGGCCCAGGGATTGCCATTCATCGGGCAATGGAGGAGACTACGAAGTGTGGTGTTTTTTTGTGGTTGGGCTGTATAGCCTCTTCGGGAACTGGAGATTATGCCGACCAATGTGCGGTAGGTACGGCAAACACACACAGGGCAGAGAAAAGCTAAAAACAGCCAAGATCTCTTGTTTCTCCTCTGGACTTCAAGAGAATCCACCACAAACCTAGGGGCCTACTGACATTCATCTAGGCGACATCAATGAACTTCTTGGAACTACCAATATTTTCATTGCAAACGTTTTGATTAAAAAAACAACAAAATACATCTGATTTTAAATGATATTGCTGTGCCGGGGGAAAAAATGAAGTAAATCTGGTCATGAATAATTCATGACTGAGCACCTGCCATTTACTCCGATGTAAAGCCAAGGGTGGTGGTGGTGTGAGGTGACATCACATGTAAGACAACTTGTAATTTGCCTTTTAACTGCCCCGACTAGCTCATTAACGCTCACAATGTTGTGCCTTGCATCACACTATCAGTGCACTCCTCACTGTCTCTGCGGGAATGTCCGAGGCTTAAAGGAGTGACAAGAAGTTCATATTAGCAAGTCAAATATCCTGCGTCGCAGCCATATTTCTTATCTTATCTGAAATAAGCGAATCCCTGGGTTAAGTTTGGGTCTGATGGTTATGGCGGCACAGATTGTGTTAATTCGCAAAACCTAAGAGAAATTGAGAGCATTTTCCAATTCAGCTTTGAAGCAAAGTAAACACAACTGTGTGCAGCCTTGCAAAGCACTCTCATGAAGATAAACGCATGAGGGACATTGCATGTGGAGTGCTCCATTTGTTAAAAAGGCTAATTTGGTAATTTGGGATTGGGAATTCCAGCTTCTATTGATGTGCTGAGCGAAGTACATCAATAGAGGCCCCCTTGAGCCACCCGGCCACCCATGCCCATATTTCTGCCAAATTAAGTGTCAAAATCACAATTTACGGATCGTTCTCGCTCTGAGTAATGTCCATAGGCCAATGGAACCGTCGCGTTTATTTCAACATACCTTATTTTCTTTCTTGCCAAAGCTGAGGCCAGGGGTTCCCTTCTCCACCACGATGCAGGAGATGCCTTTGGCGCCCTTTCCGCCAGTGCGACACATCACCACGTAGATGTCTGCCTCCCCACCTCCACTGATGAACGCCTACGAGTACACACCAAGAGACGCGGCCCCCTGTTTGCCGTTGCATACATTTTTCAGGCGACTGCCGTTGTGCGAAACACCTAATTATAACGTCTCCGGTGAGTTGTTGGGTCGTACCGATGTCTGAACAACTCACGGTACAGCCCCGAATGGACATCGGAGAGCTGTGCAGAACAACTGCAGACACCTGTGCAGGGGCAATTACACCGCCACTGCGGATGAGGGAATGACAAGCTATCATGAACAGATGCATTTGTCTCTGCAGTGCTGATGTTGACATGCCGCAACAGGTATTTATTTAAGGCTGAGTAGAAGTACAGGAGGACCGGTATAGGTTCAGATATCACATGCCATTTGCCGCGATCATAGCACTGCCCGTGAACCACTGCTCGTTAAGTGCACGTGATTAAGATCCCCCATATAGCTTTCCCAGGTTGCTGGGGCAAGTTCTGTTAGCGAGCGCCAATGAAGGCGGGCACAGTGAACGTGGACACGAGAGGTTGGTTGCGGCCAGCACCACACCAAGCCATCTTTGTGTACCGAGTGCTAAAGTTTACACACTGCACCAGCTACTCATTAAATGCTCAGTCGACCTGGGGGAAGGCCAACATTGGTTCAAATAATCACCAATGATGTTAGCTTTGGCCGGGAATTGAACTTTGGAACTAGGTTTCGTAGCATAGTACGTTAAGCTCTTACCATTGTCTCTTGAGTTATCACCTGATTAAACAAAATACATTTGGAAAACTATAATGCTGATACATATATGACCTAATCCTACCAGGTATAGTTGATTTACTTCTTGTTAAATCAATATACTTTAAAATGGGTATTTGTTATATTTGTGTTGCTATAAAATACATTATACATAACTCTAAAAAAACATCCAATGCAACTGGGCATTGGCCAAAATCCCATTGCTGAAAAATTACCTACACATTACTCAATTGGGATGAAACAGCAGCAGCATCGCCCCCCCCCCCCCCCCCCCACACTGTGAAAACTTGGCAGGACCCTCCTGAAAAAGTCTGTTGAGACTCTCACAATTTGCGATGCTTTCTTGGGTAAAGGTGCATAATAAAAAACACATGAAATAAGGCGGTAAAGTATTTTGGTTGAATATTTTGTTTATAAATTTAAATAGGGTTCTACACTTTTTTTTTGCCAAACTCAGAATACCAAAATGTAGGATGCCATAACCAAGGAGTGTATTCAATAATGAACTTTAAATATATATAATGGCCAGGACCAAAGTATTTTAATCATGGAATGAGATCTGTGGTACCAATACAGTCATGACGACAAGTTGACTGCGTGTGTGGCCAGAGTGGAAGCGTGAGGCCAGATATCCTCTGGACAGGTGCTCCCCAGAGCTCCCTCTAGTAGAGGCCTTTCTGCCTGCAGCCACACGAGCAAGTCACTGCAGGGCTGCAGCTTTACCTTAAACGTTTAGAGCAGCCAACCGGTTAACAGACCAAGAGCCAAAAAGGTACTCGAGTTCTGCAAAGAGCCCAGTGTATATGTGTGTATATATAAGTGTATATATGTATATATAAGTTTATATACAGTGAGGGAAAAAAGTATTTGATCCCCCGCTGATTTTGTACGTTTGCCCACTGACAAAGAAATGATCAGTCTATAATTTTAATGGTAGGTTTATTTGAACAGTGAGAGACAGAATAACAACAAAAAAATCCAGAAAAACGCATGTCAAAAATGTTATAAATTGATTTGCATCTTAATGAGGGAAACAAGCATTTGACCCCCTCTCAATCAGAAAGATTTCTGGCTCCCAGGTGTCTTTTATACAGGTAATGAGCTGAGATTAGGAGCACACTCTTTAAGGGAGTGCTCCTAATCTCAGCTTGTTACCTGTATAAAAGACACCTGTCCACAGGAGCAATCAATCAATCAGATTCCAAACTCTCCACCATGGCCAAGACCAAAGAGCTCTCCAAGGATGTCAGGAACGAGAATTGTAGACCTACACAAGGCTGGAATGGGCTACAAGACCATTGCCAAGCAGCTTGGTGAGAAGGTGACAACAGTTGGTGCGATTATTCGCAAATGGAATAAACACAATATAACTGTCAATCTCCCTCGGCCTGAGGCTCCATCCAAGATCTCACCTCGTGGAGTTGCAATGATCATGAGAACGGTGAGGAATCGGCCCAGAACTACACGGGAGGATCTTGTCAATGATCTCAAGGCAGCTGGGACCATAGTCACCAAGAACACAATTGGTAACACACTACGCCGTGAAGGACTGAAATCCTGCAGCGCCCGCAAGGTCCCCCTGCTCAAGAAAGCACATATACATGCCCATCTGAAGTTTGCCAATGAACATCTGAATGATTCAGAAGACAACTGGGTGAAAGTGTTGTGGTCAGATGAGACCAAAATGGAGCTCTTTGGCATCAACTCAACTCACCGTGTTTGGAGGAGGAGGAATGCTCCCTATGACCCCAAGAACACCATCCCCACCGTCAAACATGGAGGTGGAAACATTATGCTTTGGGAGTGTTTTTCTGCTAAGGGGACAGGACAACTTCACCGCATCAAAGGGACGATGGACGGGGCCATGTACCGTCAAATCTTTGGTTAGAATCTCCTTCCCTCAGCCAGGGCATTGAAAATGGGTCGTCGATGGGTATTCCAGCATGACAATGACCCAAAACACACGGCCAAGGCAACAAAGGAGTGGCTCAAGAAGAAGCACATTAAGGTCCTGGAGTGGTCTAGCCAGTCTCCAGACCTTAATCCCATAGAAAATCTGTGGAGGGAGTTGAAGGTTCGAGTTGCCAAACGTCAGCCTCGAAACCTTAATGACTTGGAGAAGATCTGCAAAGAGGAGTGGGACAAAATCCCTCCTGAGATGTGTGCAAATCTGGTGGCCAACTACAAGAAACGTCTGACCTCTGTGATTGCCAACAAGGGTTTTGCCAACAAGTACTAAGTCATGTTTTGCAGAGGGGTCAAATAGTTATTTCCCTCATTAAAATGCAAATCAATTTATAACATTTTTGACATGCGTTTTTCTGGATGTTTTTGTTGTTATTCTGTCTCCCACTGTTCAAATAAACCTACCATTAAAATTATAGACTGATCATTTCTTTGTCAGTAGACAAACGTACAAAATCAGCAGGGGATCAAATACTTTTTTTCCCTCACTGTATATGTAGTGCCGTGAATTCACTCGGACGACAACCGTCTTTCTTCCACCTCACTTTTATTCCATCGTTCCGTACATACGGTGATTCTCCTCTTCGCGCTCCGCCAACTCGGACACTCCGATTCACCTCAGCATCGTCCGTACATCCTCTTCCACACACAATGGTTCTTCCTCTCTCTCCTCACACACAGTGTCGCCGCTATCTCTTCACACGCAGTGACTTCCCTTCCACACACAGTGGTTCTTCTTCTATCTCCTCACACACAGTATCGCCGCTATCTCTTCACACGCAGTGACTTCCCTTCCACACACAGTGGTTCTTCTTCTATCTCCTCACACACAGTATCCTGTCTGTCTATTCACACACAGTGACTCTATCTATCTATTCACACACAGTGACTCTATCTGTCTCCGCTAACGCTAACTCTCCCTATCACTATTTACTGTCTCTTGGGTTCGGCTCTCTATCTATTCTTCCCTGACATTGCCAGCTGTCCTCTTTGTATCTCTCCACCTCTCGCCAACAACTCCCCAGCAACAACTCCTCCTCCCGTTCAAATCACCTCGCGTTTTATCCCCTCTTAGCCTTAATTAATTGCCACGTGGCTCGCTGGCCGTTTTCCGCCAGCTCGCACCTGTCCCCTTCGTCAGACTTCTAGACGCCACCACTTAACACTAACAGCCTCTCGACCAATCACAGCCCTCATGCCACGACTCCCTTAATTACTTCGGGTTGTTTACGCCACCCGTGACTCGACCACCTGTTCGACCTCATGTGACCCGTTCTCCTTGTCTGTCTGTATGTACTGTATGTGGCCAATTCCTATGCGTATCGTTTACTCCAGTACATCACCCCCCCCCCCCGTGATGAAAGAACCTAGCTGTCCCCAGCTACGATATACTCGAATTGGAGTAGTGGAGTGAAGCGGACGGAACGATGACAACATATATACATAACGCATTTGCAATACACAACCATTTTGTACAACCACACAACGACACGCACACAACACCTTTATACAGAATTCCCAACCCCCAAAGTCAATGTATTGTATTCTTCCTGGAACGGGATCCCGCTGCCGGTCCATCTCCCCTGCCCGGGATACCCTGCAGTAAGGGAGGGCCTCGTTCGTCTTGCCAATGAACCCTGCGCCCATCCCTGTCCCAGCGACACTCAGCTGGCGGGGCTGTCCGTCGTTCACGGTCGGGACGGCCATTGGTCCCGATCCGTGGCCGTTCAATCGGCGTCCGGTCGGTAACCCTGCCCAAAAAGGGTGATCCTGCAGGCACACGGGGGGCAGATCTCTGGGACACGCGCACTTGTGACCTCCCCACAGGTTCGTCGGACACATCCAATACAGGCCGCTCTCGGATGGGGGATGACGCATCATATGGTAACACAAATTTCTTCAGGCGCGACGGGTGAACAAACCATGTCCGACGACCGAATTTTATTCGCACACTCTGATCCCGTAAAACCTCCACAATATCAACGGGCCCCTGCCAGGGACGGTGAAACTTCGGGGACGTTCCCACCGGCACCATGGGGCAGTGCAACCAGGCTTTATCTCCAACACTCCACGGCTCTCGTGGCCGCTGCCTGCCGAACAATCTTTCGTTAGCGGCTTGTCGTCGTGCCGTATTTTGCAATGCAGCCTCTCGGGCTTCCCTTAGACGGTCCAAAGCCACCTGCATTGGAGCAGGCACCGTCGTAGATTTCTCCCGTTTCCGAATCCCCAATTTTACAATAGCCGGCGCTTCCGGTTCCCATCCATACATCAGAAAAATGGCGAGTACCCCGTTGAGGCATGCGGGGCCAATCTATACG